TAACTTGTGTAAGTGAATTTTAAGTACTAAAATGCATCAAAATGCAGAATTTTGGGTGCAGGACCCCCCCTTAATTGGCTTCGATTATTTTCAGGATTTTTAGGAAAGGGACACTTTCATCTCTGTGTTTAGTTGAGCACGTTTTTATAAAAACTTGTATAAGTATCTGAATGTTTTTATTAAATATATATACATATATATATATATTTATCTGTAATTGATTTCTTTGGTAGTAAATGTAATTCAATTCATAAGTGTCTATTCATCCTGAAAATCTGTACATGTGCCTTCTTGGATCTTTTACAATCCTGAAAAAAACATTCATTTATTTGAAAGAATGTGAATTTGTAGCTTGAAAATAAATGTTTAGTTCAATGAAATAATAGCATGGAAAATTTATTTTATACAAGTTTATAGAAAATCGTTTCTCTCTAAAGTTTATTTATTTTGAAGTGCAGTTGACAAATGTTTTAGGAATACAGTCTCGTGTTTTATCTACAAGTGAACTCCATAGTCATAGGCGAAAATCTAAAGCAAGTGGCTTAGTTACAGACAAGAAATTCTGCTTAACAATCCAGCAGAAGATTGATGTAATGCTTCAAGAGCTTGATGAGATGAGAGAGTCTAAGAAAAAATTTCAAAAAACTTCAGAATCAAATCTGGAAGCTTTAAAGGTAATTGCAAAAAAAAATATCTTAAGAATCGATCATCTGAAAGTTCATTTTTCAAGAAAAATAGAAATTTTACATTTTACATTAAGGCCATTGAGTGATTAAAGATATTTGATTTGCTATAATCGATTTGATATTTTCTTGAAGGCAATAAATATGATCACATCATTTCTGCTAAGCCTTTAAAACTATTTTCCAATAAAATAAACCTTCATCTTCTCCCAGCACAAAAATATCAAAATTATCAAATTAATTGTATTCCAGAAATTCTAAACAATAGAATGGACATTTCAACTTCTTTGTGACCATCAATTAATCTTGAGGTAGATAAAAAGTTTGGGAATAATTAAATACATTCCAAGGTTTTTTCAAAATTACTGTATGATGATTGGCTGTCATAATCAATGACATATGTTTCACTAACAATGTTTACATTTTCCATATGTTTGTTATATCGTAGATACAGTATGTCTAACGTGTTCAGAGGTAATATTATCCACATAGTTCTGTGTGTTATCAAAAAGTATTGTCTTTTCATGCATCATGTTTCATAAATGTATATAAGAAATAAATGTACAACTACAGCTGTTGAAATATTATTCTTATTAGCTTATCTTATTTACTACTAAAACTCTGAGATTGTTTGTGTGTGTGCTTGTCTGTAATTAAATACAGCAAAAATGGCACACAATATCACCATATTTGTAAGGAAATGAGAATAGAAACAGAATAAAACAAGTTTTGTTAAAATTGGGTCACGGGTTACCAAGTTAGCACCGTTTTTCGGGTCACTTTTCGTACATTCCATTATTATAAAAATTCGTTTTCCACCTGATGAACCACTTTAAAATATCTTCTATGCACAACAGAAATTAAATGATGAGATGAAAATGTGTTATAACTGTGCGTAGAAAGAACAACAATAAAATGGACCTTCAATATTATTGACTATTTGCAAATAGTAACTATGGAGACCAGGTAATAAAATAAAAATCAAGTCCAGAACAACAACAAAATTTTATAAATGAAAACCTCTTGCCAGGCATTGGCTATTATATTATTTCCCTGTCAATGTTCCCATCTTCATTAAAGGGTGTAAGATGACAAAAAACAAGATCTTGAAGAATCTATCTATATACTACTAAATCTCTGAGATTGTTTGTTTCTTTGCTTATTTTCTCAGTCAAAAAATCATTCACACTACCGATCGCACTCTTTACGAAACTTCTTACTTCACTTTTTTGAAAAATGAAATGGTCTTTCCTTTTACTCCCAATCAACAATCAAATATTTTTTCTTGAATTATGAATAACATGAATGGATTGAAATATTTAATTAAATTATCTCAAAATAAACCTTCATTTCGGTGCAATAATGACATTAGCTTGAATTCTTGATAACCTCTGAATAGTGGTTGACCCAACGTGTCACGGTGGTCTAGTATTACTTAAATGTTAATTATTACTTTGTTACAAATAGTTTTAGTGCTGTATTTTTTTGTTGCAATCTAAAAATATAGAAATTAGAAACTTATAAAAAGGGTTTGTAAATGATATATGTATGTCATTGATAAGCAGTAATGAAAATTTTTACTTCAGTATTATTGATGTTTAATTATTGCAATTAATGTATTTATCATGATAATGTTGAACTTAGATAAAAAAGGGGAGGGGGAATGTAACAATCTTACTTTCTATGTTTTCCATATTCAAAAGTGGCCTGGTATGGCCAGGTGGTTAGCACGCTTGACGCGCAGTGTGAGAGTCACGGGCTCAAATACCCATCTCACCAAACATGCTGACCCTATAAACCGTGGGGGTGTTATAATGTGATGGCTAATCCCAGTAATTGTTGGTAAAAGAGGAGCCCAAGAGTAGGCAGTGGATAGTGATGACTAGCTGCTTTCCGTCAAGATAGCCCTCATGTAGCTTTGCACGAAATTCAAACCAAACCATATTTTAAAATACTGATTCAAAACTTTTTCCTAAAATAGAACTCCAAAACATACTTACTCTCTGCTTCCACTTTAGCTATCCCTTGACATTTGCTTTACCTATCTAAGCATTGGTCTTGCATGCTCCAGTCTTTTATACCCCACTTAAATGCCGTTAGCAATATCTAATTTGCAAATACCTCCACCCACGTTAATTTGCCCTCCATCCTGACACTGGATATAAGCACCTCACTCAGATAACACAATCGTTTTTGTCGACAAACTGTTAGTTATGGTTTCTTCTGAGGAAGTGCTGTGGTTCGTTCCGCTATGGATTGCGATGTTTGCATTGCTTGCAGATTTCTGTATAGTTTGTGGGTATGAATTCCTATATTACCGTCATCAGCATGGCAGTTTATCCGACCTCCCCTTTTCCACCTTTGTTATTTAGTGTCTCTCTATGGTCAGAAGGGGGTTACTCTCAGTTGAGGCTGTCCGTGTTTTGATCCATTGGGAGATGAAAACATACATTCAGCATTTTCTCCTGGCGCTTCTGAAGTTGTTTTTTGTTGATCCTGGTTATTCTGGGGAGAACTTGGGCTCAGTTTTTCTGACACTTTTATTTCCTATGTCAGTTTCTTACAAGTCCAGTTTGGATCATTCACCTCCTACTCTTTTTTTTAAATTCATCCTTTGGGTTTATGAGATTTTGGGGCTTTTCTCTAACCTTTGAGTCTACTCCTTGTTTGATGGTGCATGTGTCTATATCAATGTATACTCCCCCTCTGTCCATACTTTATCTTTTCACAGATACTTCGAGGATGAGTTTTGTATCTTCTTGGTCAGGAATTCCAGGGTTTATGAATGGAGGAAGAATCTTCATTCTGCATTGATGTTTTCAAACTTTTTTCTGTACAACAGGCAACAGTGCAAGTTCTAGATCTCTTGCAGGTGAATATCCTCATGAGACATTTTATCACTTCCAGTGGTTTCTTAAATTTGGTTCTTTCTCTATGGGGCCTATTCAACTTCTGGCTTGCCATTTTCTTGGGGTGATGGATTTCATAGCAGATTGTCAGTCTCAGTCCTCATCTTCTCCTGACCAAATGGATTCTCCATTCAGATTGGGCCTTCAATAATAGCTATTGCCACTCATTGATACTCAACTATGAGCTTTGGAGTCTCCACTACCTCATCCTCAGGCTTGGGTGGTGGATGCATATGGTCCTGCTTGAATGGGATTGCTCATTTATGTCTTTCCCTCACTTCATCTGTTACTCAGAGTTATGACTATGATTCGATCCTCTACTTGTGAAATGTTACTAGCCTAGATTGGCTGGCCTAGCCATGATTTCCTCATCTACAGTTTCTTCGTGTGAGTTCACCTCTGCATCTTCCTCTTTGGCTATCTTTATTGAGGCATCTTCAACCCACATTTTACACTAAGATTTTTCCCAGCTCATTGGGGGTTTAACATCTACAGTGGCCTGGGGTGTGTCTCACAAGGAGTTTGTACACACTTTACCAAACATGTTCACCTTATCTTGTTTTGACCTGTGTTTTTACTTGGGTTTAGCTTCATCTCCTGTCATTTAGGTCAGACAACTTTTCATGTCCTTTTAGTTATCCTAAACATCCGAAGGTTTTAAACACCCCAGTGCCATCTAGTCTTCTTCCCAAAAGGCCTTTTTCCATTACTTAATCAAGATATTAAGGTGGTACTACATGCCTTATTTTGACAACATTTCGAGCCTTTAGCCTCATGTACCCCTCCCTTAATGGGTATTTTGTTGTTGTTGATATGCTGATGTCATTGATTGGAGTTGTTGGCATGTTTGTAGGACTCTTCATCCCTCTCCTCTGATCCTTCTATACCCTGATAGGTCCTTTCTTTCCAAGTTCTCTGGCCATCAGGAAGGGGATACATCCCTCTCCACAGTTCTTTTGCTAACTATTTCTCACCTCTACAATCGATCATACACTGATCATTTGTTTTGTCCTGTCAGGCCCAGAGGTGTTATGTGGCTCACTCTAACTCCTTTTATAATGATAGTTCTTGTCTCTGTATTCTTTGGGATATTTTGGTTTCCAAAGATTTATCCCCACTTTCTTGGAGTTGGTTTTGGAAATATCCGGGTTGCATATTCTGGAGTTTACAGGTAACTCTCAGAAGATTCCTCACATTTCATCAACTTCAGCACATTTATGTCTTTCACTGCCTATTTTGTTGATTCACTGGGGGACACTTTATGGGCCTGTATGTGGACTTATCTTAACCCAGTAACCAGCAGCTACTAACTTTCTGAGTAGCCAATGCAAGTCTTGCTATATTTCATTCCAACAATAAAACTAGTGGATGAAACTGCTTGAAACTTCATAAGAACTTTCATAAATGCATGTAGTTTAAGAAACATAATGCCTGTTACTTTTGATAAATATAGTTATTTTGCATTATGATCTTTAATATCTTGGAAAATTACATTTGGAAATAGTATATATAAGAAATGAGTACACTATTTATATTTGTTCCAGATTTGAACTTATTACTTTTTATGTTTTAGTACATTATTTTGAAATCCCCCAAAAACTGTATCG